TACATATGTATATGCATGTGTGTACGTATGTGAAAAAAGTTGTAACAACATGCACTGAATTCATTCAATGTATGAGGAAATATTTGGGGAACATTTTTTCAAAGTTGATGTTTGATTGAAGCATTGTTTTATTTAATCAAAATTATTAATTCCACATCATCGAACTGTAACAATAGATCAGATGTCGTTTATTCTGTACTCCAATCCATACTGAATGGTATTTTGTAATGAAATATATGCAAATATTTGATCATATATATATATATATATATATATATATATATATATATATATATATATATATGGTCATATAAATTCTATCACAAATCTGACAGCGTGAAGTTAACGCAATGAACGTCCGCGAATATTTTTTGGCTGTAAATACATAAACAAACTAAAACAACTTAGAATGTAAATAAAATTAAATTTGGATAATTTTTGGATTAATCGTTTAATCATATTTTGTCAACAGTCTGCTAAAAATAAAGAGACCTACTTTTTTATTTATTTTTTTTTTTTCGTTTTTAGTTTTTGTTTTGCAGCATTCGATATTGCGACGCTTTTACTCAATTCTTCTAAAAAAATATTAAATTTTATTTAAAAATCACATTTTCTTCACAATACATGTGTACATATTTATTGCTTAGGCATGCGAATAAGTTGTGAAGGCCGGACCAAAAATGTAATCAAAACGTACAGTGTGTATGTTATTTTTTTTTTTTTTTCATAACCACATAAACAAATACCGGCAAACCTCTACAAACACAAAATGTATTTGCTTCAATGAAAATAATTTATTAATTAATTTAACAAGTAAAAAAAATTAAGTTCCGGGCGAGGCCGAACTTTTTATACCCTCCACCTAAGGGTAAAGGAAACATTAGAACCCATTATGACCTACAAATACCAATTTTTAGACATATTCATGGATAAATGTGCCAAAAATAATCAAAATACCGAATGTCGGGCCGTACAAAAACGCGGACCTGAACGTACAATGTTTCGCCAAAGGCGCTAGAACGAAATATATATGAAGTATGCAAAACATGCAAGAATATAGAAAAAAGGAATGTTATTGTATTGCGTTATGGTAATTCCTAAGTTAACTATAGACGTGGTTGCAATACTCATAGACATACATATTTCAAATGCAAAGTTTACTTCCATTCGTGTTATAATAAATTCGAAAATGCAATGTAACTAGACAGACCGCTATAGGGCAGATATATATGATATTACCAAAATTTCAATTAAAAAGTCTTTTTGGTGATCTATGACAAGTCCGCGGCTTCGGTGTATAATGGTACTTCCCTAAATTCTGTTTTTCAATGATGAACCTACATACTTTATATTTGTAGTTCGCCATAAGATTTCTCTGGAAGATAATTGGTAATACAAGCCCATTGTTTCGTTCAGTCCCCATATAACTCTACCATTCGGTATTTTGATATTTTAAAGATATTTTGTTCTAGAGAATTTTTCACATTTTCAAAGTTTCTTCCAAATAATGAAGTAATAAAATCGGTCCGGCCGAATGTAGCTTCTTTTCCACTTGTTAGTATTTATGCAGAGCCTTTGACATAACAAATTAGTCCTAAGTAAATTGGTCAGTCCCAAAAAAAATCTAAAAAAAAAATATTTTTGTACGCACATCAGATATATAACTCTTACGGCTATGTTCCATTCTATGTACATGATGCACCAACCATGCTCAACTCGTCCAATTAAGATGGCATTCGGATCAAGTTTTTTCTACAATGAGTGAAAACTAACTTGCTTTCATAATTCTACTCTCTTCGCCATACAGTATCAAACTTGTGGACACTTATGTAACGTTCTGTGTATTTTGGCATAAAACTATGATTTTTTGCATTCGGTGTTCTTACTTGCAAAACAGCTTTTATTTTATTACAGGATTGGTAATTGAATTCCATTAAAATTTTACAGGCGATTTTAAAAATGTAGGAAATTGGTCAGTCCCAAAAAAGCTTCAGAAAAGGACATGTTTACCAACAAGTGTTAGCACGTTTTATGTCGTAACATAAAATAAACAACCAGCCAGCAAACTAACAAACTGAGTACCAAAAAAAAAAAAAAACAAAAAAAGCCCTCTGAGCATGACAAGTTGTCATGTTTGAACAAAAATCGTGTTCATTTGGGAAGGGCGTTTTAAATCGTACGAATATGAACGTGCACATGTGTGAGTGTGTTTAGACAAGGATATTCTCTGCTCAAAGGTTCAACCTAAATAGATGTCCAAATTGTTTCTTTGGATTAACAATTTAACAGCAATCTATTGGATTTCTGTCTTCCTAAATCTTCTTAATATACCACAATATTGTTGTTGTTGTTGCTGTTGCTTTTTATAGTTTTTATTATAAGCATATTTGGGTACAAATACTCTCGTTTGTATGTTGTTGTACACATGTTCATTAGGCCGGTGCTTGGAGGCAATAAAGGAAAACTAAAAGCGTTCAGAATAAAACTGAAACAGAAATCTCCAAAGTAAAGCCGGAAGGATAAATTAATATCCTTTTAGATTGTTGAAAATGGAAATGTTTCAGATTTATCCTAGGAAAATATAATTCCATTTATTTTTTTATTTCACATCATCATTCTGCAGGATATTAGGGATTAAATGTTTTAAATCCAAGTATGTCCGATAACTGGTGGACGTACAGAGGAATATATCCCTTTTACTAACAATCGATTTAAATTTGTACACCTCCCTAATGTGTTTTCCATTCTATCATGCTTGTATAACCCACTCCGAAGCCAAATTGCAAATCCTATATTTAAAAACCAAAATCAAGAAAAATAATACGTATGTGCGTACATAAATTTCCGTACACAGGGGATTCTTTTTAGCATTTTTTTTTCTAAAAAGTTGCTTGTGCAATTATGCTTTTCATTCATGTTCACATGAGTGTTACACGAGTGCTCCCAAAATCCCTACACAGAAAATAATTGGGTGAAACCACTAATTTGATTGTGGAGAATTAAAAGTCAATTTAAAATGTAATCACAACAATTTCAATTTACATTAGAGCACAGAGAGAATGAGACCGAGCAACCAGATATGTGTATGCTCCAGAAGCATAGAATTCTAATGAACGAAATGCCGAGAATCCGATATACATATCTACATGCATATACAAATTATTTTCACTGCACATGTAAAGAATTTGAAGTTGTGTGTTCGAATTGAAAGAATTAGCAGACACAATATTAGCATGTCTCAAAAATATCACTAATATTTTATTTACTACTATTTTATTACCATTCAAAAGATTATTTGTTCAATTGATAATAAAAAAATCAATTGTATTCATTGAATCCTATAAATATTTAAACTTGAAATTATTGGAGGGATGTTTCGGTATTCTTCACGACTTTTGCGTTTAACTACCGTCAATACATTTAATTCATCATTTTGTCCATGTGTTTTTAGGCCCTTAAATGCTTGTTTGCACTACTAGAACGTATATCATCGATGAAGACAGATTGAAACATTTCTAGGAAATTTTAGAAATCTACCACCACGCGTTCTTGTCATACGGACGGTAATATATATTTCGTTTAATTTAGTACCTGTTCGTGTTGTCAGATACCATTGTTGTACTCAATGTGTGTTTATCACAGGCGAAGTGTGCAAATATCAATTCGGAGTTCTTCCTGATGGCATCTTTAGGTAGATTCGTTCCATATAAGCAAGTTTTTTGTAAAAACAAAATTTGTAAAACATGTTCGATAATAGACAAATTCACTGAAATAAATTCAAAGGGCTAGCTCTTAACTGCGACTGAGTGTTTCTAATATTGGAATATTCGTATAATGACAAAAAAGGGGGAAAAATACATCATCCTGTCCAAAATAAATTTTAATATTAAATTAAAAATAATTTATGTAAATTTTGTTAATCTATGGCAAACTGTAGAACTGTACCAATATTTATGTGTTATTAAGCAGTCAATTGGTGTGACGCAATCTAACTAACTGTGGGAACCACTGACATTGACAATTGCTTGCAAAAAGGTCACTAGATGTCAGTGCTAAATTGCGAAATCAAGCAATGTTTGAAGTACTTACGTGCTTCATAAGCTTAATATACTATTATATTGATTTATGCCAATTAAAAAGATGCAACTTCTACAGATATCAACATGATAATTTGAAGAAAAATTAAGTAGGTTTCGTTGAAAAAAAATGAATTTCCAACTCCAAAGATGCATTTTTCGAGTTATGACACGCTTTGAGTAAATGAGCGATATGTACTACGTAAATAAATTTCGCCACCCCCCTTCATTACCGTCAATAAGCAAATATCTAAATATATTATTATTTGTAATTATGTCAACCAATCGAATAACCGACTACAAATCCCATTTAGGTCAAACTGAGTTTGTTATACTTTCTGTTTGTAGTTCTAACCCCAAAGTAAAGCTAATTTAAAACTATTTCGTTTGTTGGGATTTTGCTGGTACAACAATATTATCAAACCCAATGTTAATAGTTTTAGAGAAAAGTTTTCCGAAAACAAGAGGAAATCCGAAACAAATCTATTTGTGTTTTTTACTGTGTATTTGCCCACAGTCTACTCCCAGTTTGCCTATTTTGCCAGAGTTGCTGGGCTCCATGCCAGCATGGAGGGGGATCCATGGGGGATTTCGTTTTGTTGTTGTGCCACAGAAGGCAAATGGAAAACAAAAAGCTAAATACGTTGTGTTTTGTATTCGTACCAAGCAACGCTTCATACCAGCTGAGCAATTTGAAGCGCCGGACCGATAGGACGAAAACGATGATGATGGGGACAAGCGGGGAATACTTGAAAAAAGAAGCACACAAATAGCACTGGGTAAAGATGTTTTCTACGAAACAATATGTATGTATATGTGTTTGTTTGTTGTTAGTATACATATGTTGAACACGTGTTTGTGTGTAGGATGTTGTAGTAGGTATATATTTATATATGTGTGTATAAATTCAAGTAAAATATTTACCCAAAGGATCCACACGGTAAATAACTTCTGGTAAGACGGGACTCAGCGTACACATGAAGAACACCCAGAATGTTAACCAAGCGCAGAACATCTGACGCCAGTTGTGATGCAGCCAATGCCGCAGATCTGGACCGGGGTAGTGTGGAAGCGTCGCCATCTTGCACGGGCGGCGAAGGCAAGTATGGCGGCTAACTGCCACAGCTCTTGTAACGGTTGTTTGTAAGGAATCGTTAATTCTTCAGCTTCTGGTGCCTTTTGTTCTTGTTGTTCTTGTAGTTGTATTGTTTTTTTTTTGTTGACGTGACGTTGATGTTGTTGCTTGTTGCCGTTCTTAATACTTGAATTTATGCTGTAGTCTTTCAGATGTACAAAGTCCTTTCTTTGGCTGTTTGTATTGTTTAATTTGTGAGTTTGCTGTTGTTGTTGTTGCTGCTGCTGCTCTTGTCTACTGTTGCTGTTATTCTTGCTGTTGCTAGTGATTGTTGCAAGTTTGCTTCTGTTGATGGTGGGTTTCTTCACAATTGTTCCGAAGTTAAATGCTTTAATGGCAATTCTTGTCTTTGTTATTTCTGTATTTTTTATTCATGCTCTCGTTGGCCTTTGTTATTGTTATTATTGTGTTGTTGCTGCTTCTGCCACATTTAATTCATTTTATTTTATTCTTTTCCAGTTCTCATTTCAGTGTTCCATTCGGGTTGGCTGTGAAAATATTTATAAAACAATATAAAATAAACGTTTTTTATTCATACTCTGACAAGATGTTTTTTGTACTCTATTTTAAATTACACATACACAACACATATTTGTATGTCGGCATATATGAAGTAAATAAATAATATAATACATACATTACACACACACACACATACGTGCGCACAGCCGCTAAACTTTCTGTTTGTGGGAATTGAAAAGCGAAAACAATTTCGCCAGGCAAGCTGATGATGATATTACTTTTCAATTCACGTTTAAATGTTGCTAATTAAAATGTTTGTTCATAATTAATTGAGTATGCCGTTTAAGTAGGTACACATGTGTGTGTGTGCTTGTGTCAGTGTGTAAGCACACTCACAAGCAAACGTAATTGCACATCCTGGCTGCCAGCCACCTATGTGGCACGGCATGTGCGGGCGGGAATAGTCTTAATATAATTTTATGCTGCGGGTCAAATGCCAATGTTGCTATGGGAGTTGACTTTAATTTTTACACAATTCCACAACTTAGGAGGAAAAATTTACATACACACGCATGTATGTACAAAGTGAATTTCTCTGAAACGCTAACATTTATAACGGCACACAAAGACGGTATTCATATATGTTTATGTATAGGTATATCATTCGTATTTGAATTTAATTGTAATCTATGTAGATTAATTAAAAGAGACAATTGGCGTGTAGAGATTCTGCAGATGCCTCTATAAATTAGGATGTATGCACAGATATATATGCACAGATATATATGTAAGGTTTTCTAGAAAATCATTAATAAAAACCAGTAAAGAAAGTCCAAAAGTCGGGCAAGGCCGACTTTATGATACCCTACACCACTTTGCATTTTTAGTAGAGCTGTCCATGACAAATAAATGTTTTTGTGGGGAATTTATGAAAATGAAATCATGCCGACTATGATCGTTTTTGATTGCATATTATGGCTTTAAAGCAGTTATATTTCAAAGCCGAAAGAAACTAATATATGAGAGGTATATCCTCCTCTAAATCGATTTCTACTAAATCTGCGGAGGCATTTGTTTCTAAACCGAGTTTCATTAAAATCCATTATATTTGAGCTGATATTAACTTTTTAAGCCCAATAAACGTGATATCGGATCAAGATATATATCCTTCCAGGATGATCCATCAACTCGGGCTTATATTAATCATTTGGTATGCAATAAACTTGAAATCGCCATAAATATTAAAATCTGAACCGTTCTCGATTTAGTCGTATCGGACAAGTTCCATACTATTTGTACTCATATTGCACATTTGGTGCACAATATCTACATTTCAACCGATTATCTCCAATTTAAATAGGGTTCGTCCTTGGGCCAAACAAATTATATGTACAAATTAAATCTCAACCGGACAATAAATGCGACCTGTACTTTGTTTTCAAAAATACATGGACCGACGGATATACATAAATAACTCAGAATTGTATGCAGATCATCGAAAGAAACTATGGGTCTACCTCGTTTCCTTCTCTATCTTACAAATAAATACACAATGACATAATACCCAGATCACAGTGTGGTAAAGGGTATAAACATCCAAAAGACGAAAACAATTCCAATTCGATTTGAATCAAATTTGTTTAAGTTAAAATCAAATACATTGCAGTTTTCAGTTGGAACGGCAAGATTAATATTTCGTTATTTTCTAAAATATTTTCATGTCGGAGATAAATTACTCAAATTAATTTATTTTGTCAATAAATTACAATATCTCTTAACACGTTGATCTTCATTCAATTGGATCTTAGAACATTGGGATTACATTAGTAGGGAGTTGATCAATTTCTTATAATTTGTTTTTATACTCGAAATATTGGTCCAAAACAAATGGAGTTACATATGGATTCCTATCTCGCCGAACTGAGTCGATCTAGGTATGTGTGTTCGTCAGTCTGTCCATATTAAACTGTAAATACGCTACATGCAATTATGGACCGATCCTCATTCCATTGAAAAATTAACAAGGTTATCTATGAAAACTGGTAATAATAACCTTTGTTATTTCGGAACTCATGGCTCATTTGGTTTTTAGTAATAAACAAAATAAAGCAAAGAGTTCTTTGTATTACGCATGTGTCTATTCACATAAATACTTTGCAATATATTTACAGAACGCAAGTTGTGTTTACATTCCGAAAAGAGGATATCCATAACAAAATCGATACAAAATACTTCTTTGATCGACTTTAGTAGCCAGAAAATCGCGACACTACATTCTTTTGTTAAAATAGTGGGTTAATGAATCGATTATTAATAATGTTTTTTGCTGGGTTCCTGCAGAAAAGTTTCAAAAATTGTATAATCATTTTCTGAGGCCAGTCAATCACGGATGCTGTTTGACAACTCTTGAATTTCCCAATGGAGACCGTAGAGTGCAAATGTTGTTGGTTTTTTTTTTTTCATATTTTAACTCTCACTGAAAGTAGTCGTGCTGATATTAAAAGGAGATAAGGGATCGTCTATAATCACTTAGAACCTCTACGATCTCTTGACGTTTGTGAGTCAAAATTTTATGGTCTCTGCGCCACACTAAATTACTCAAGGTAATTTGACTGGTTGTACAAAAATTATTATCTCAATAAAACACCAAAAAAACTTATTCAAACATAAAATTATTTACTTCTGGTATTTCTGATTCTTCTCGGGCGGAAATACCACCTTTTCCATATCGACTCCACACAACGACTATGCCCGTTTGTAAGGATTATATTGGACCTTGTCAAAATTGTCAGAAAAAGTAGATACTGTGTTATGATTGAAACCATAAATAACTAACGGACGGAATATCCCCAGATAAAAACTAAGAGAGCATTACCTGCCTCACTTCTTGGAAAATATTTAATTCCACCGTAACATATAAACTCTTATATTGGGAATTAATGAGAAGTAAATCATAACAACCTATGACTGTTATTAGTGGCATGTTACTCCTGTAGAAGATTTAAACTTGGCACGGAATAAAATAAAAATGTATATATGCTATATCTTAATTTTAATCGATTTCCATACAACTTGACGGAGATATTTATACCCTACACCACATAGTGGTAAGGGTATTATGTCTTTGTGCATTTGTTTGTAACATGGAGAAGGAAACGAGATAGACCCATAGTTACTTTTGAGAACCTTCATAGAATCACTTTCTGAGTCGATTTATGCATGTCAGTCCGTCTGTCCGTCCGTCCGTCCGTCCGTCTGTCCATGTATTCTTGTGAACAAAATGCAGGTCGCATTTATTATCCGATTGGGATGAAATTTTCCAAACAATATTTTTTTGGCCCAAGGACGAACCCTATTGAAATTGGTGAGAATCGGATCAAATTTAGATATAGCTCCCATATATATCTTCATCCGATTTCGTGTTAAATGTGCACCAAATGTCCACTATCAGTCCAAATTACCTGAATTTTGGCACACCCAACCGAGTTCGGCCTAAAAGCAAGTATATCAAATTTCCCATATATATCTTTCATCCGATTTGATCTTTAAGTCCCTCACATTCCTACTATGCACTCCACAACCGTGATATTTGGTACCAGGTATTAGATGGAGCACAGAAATAGCTGTTTTAAATTTTATCGAAATCGGTTCAGATTTGGATATAGCTCCCATATATATCTTCATCCGATTTCGGGTTAATTGACCACTAAATGGCCAATATCAGTCCAAATGGGCCGAATTTTGGCACATGTGACCGAGATTAGCCTTAAAGCAAATACAACAAATTTGGAGAAAATCGGTTCAAAAACAGCTATAGCTTCCATATATATGTTTTATCCGATTTGGTGTTTAAGCCTCTCACATTCGTAATATGCACTCCACAAGAATGATATATAATATATATAAGATACAGCCCAGAAATAGCTGTTTGTAATTTTATCGAAATCGGTTTAGATTTGGATATAGCTCCCATATATATCTTCATCCGATTTCGGGTTAATTGTGAACCAAATGGCCGATATAAGTCCAAATGGACTGAATTTTAGTACATCGGACCAAATTCAGCCTAGAAGCAAGTATATCAAATTTAGTGAAAATCGGTTCAGATATAGATATAGCAACCATACATATGTTTCATCCGATTTAGTGTTTTAGTCCCTTACATTCGTAATATTCACTCCACAACCGTGATATTTGGTACCAAGTATTAGATGGAGCACAGGAATAGTTGTTTTAAATTTTATCGAAATCGGTTAAGATTTGGATATAGCTCCCATATATATCTTCATCCGATTTCGGGTGATTGACCATCAAATGGCCGTAATAGCATCAATTTTGGCAAATCCGACCGAAACCAGCTTAGAAGCAAGTACACCAATTTTAGTAAAAATCGGTTCAGATATAGCTATAGCTCCCATATATATCTTTCATCCGATTTGGTCTTTAAGTCCCTCACATTCGTAATATGCACTCCACAGGAATGATATTTGGTACCAGATAACAGATAAAGCCCAAAAATAGTTGATTTTAATTTTATTAAAATCCGATTTGGTGTTTAAGCCTCTCACATTCGTAATATGCACTCCACAAGAATGATATTTGGTACCAGATATAAGATACAGCCCAGAAATAGCTGTTTGTAATTTTATCGAAATCGGTTCAGATTTGGATATAGCTCCCATATATATCTTCATCCGATTTCGGGTTAATTGTGAACCAAATGGCCGATATAAGTCCAAATGGACTGAATTTTAGTACATCGGACCAAATTCAGCCTAGAAGCAAGTATATCAAATTTAGTGAAAATCGGTTCAGATATAGATATAGCAACCATACATATGTTTCATCCGATTTAGTGTTTTAGTCCCTTACATTCGTAATATTCACTCCACAACCGTGATATTTGGTACCAAGTATTAGATGGAGCACAGGAATAGTTGTTTTAAATTTTATCGAAATCGGTTAAGATTTGGATATAGCTCCCATATATATCTTCATCCGATTTCGGGTGATTGACCATCAAATG